TATTGTCAGATTTTGTGGAAATAATTTTATGATCAGTAAATAATACATCCTTCTAATTAGTATGTATTTTTCTCTCTCTCTCAAGTTTACGAAAATTATTAGAGCAAATTGTACACATCACCCTAGAGCTTTCAAGTATAAAAATTAAACCCTCATGTTCAAAATAAAAAATAAATTTAAACCCTTTAAATAAACTATTATTATGATTTATAATATGAATACCTTTACGTGTGTCATTCTAGGATTCCATTTCCTAGTACCATGACCAAAATGAACTCCTGCTTCCATCATCTCTTCCAAATGGATGTTCCAATATCTTTTGTCATTTCTCCCCCCACTTCCTCGCTTTTTTTTAAGAAAAAAAAAGAGACGAGAAATAAATAATTGTTCCGATGGAACCTTATCCTCTACCGGAGATTGACTGTTGATACACGATCAAATCAACGCGTATAGTTAACAGGATGACTCCACTTTTATGAAAGGTGGTTTTGTAATTTGTCCAAATTATTATTAAATATTTGAGTAATTATTATTATTATATATTTTTTTTTTTGGAGTTCGACCAACTCACCAACATGCCTTCCAATACTATTGATTCTTTCAACTTGAAGAATAATATTCTTTGAGTCAGAAAGTCTTTTAACTTAGTAAAATGCTAAATTATAAATTTTGTATATATTTATTAAATATTTAATCTATTGATAATCAATATCTATATATTTTATTTTTAATTTTTTATAATCAATATCTATATATACAAACAGGAGTCGTTTTTTTCCCACATATCCCCATTATCCCAATTTTGGTGTTTTATTTTTATAAAATTATAAAATGTCATTAATTTCGTATACATGAACAAGACTATAGAATCATGTAATTATGCACATGAAATTTATTTTCTATAATTTAGTAATCTACCTTTAATCTTCCAAATAAGTCATTTTATAATTTTGGTGATATGAATAGATTATATATTTTTTACTATTCTTTGTGTGTGTGTTTTCTTTAAAGATGGTTCTTTTTGGTTTCTCAAATTGTTTTAGATTTTACACTAAATCAACTTTTTCAAGACATTTAAAATTGTGAAATAAATTGGGGTGAATATTAGATATGAAGAACGAACAAATAAAGGTTACTAGATAAACTTTTTTCTTTGACATTAGATAAGCTACTAATACCAACATAGCTTACTTTTTTCTTTCATTGGATAATATTTAATATCATGCTTCTGTACGAGTTTATATATATATATATTAGTACAATTTAAAAAATACAAATTAATAAGGTGATCGTTTATCAGATTTGTTTGAAATAATTACAAATGTGAACCAAGCCATAATTTAATTGTTTAGATATTAGTAATCACCTTTAAAAGTTTGTTGGTTAAAATTTTCGATCTCGGATTTGAATTACAATACTCCAATAAACAAAAAATAATTTCATTAGTTAATATTCACTCCATGCCTAATAAGGCTTTAGTACAAATTAATTCACACGTTAAAATTTTGTAGATATTTTAATAGTGCCATTTTGATTAAATTTGCTAAAACTTTTTTTCTCATGAAGTCAATTAAAACCAATATTTTTACACACGTCACAATTTCCTTGTGGCATCATATTAATGCAATCAACAAATAACTAAAGTAAATTTACACTCGTTTTAGAGATTGATGTCTCGTAGAACCAATCAAATCTAGCTTTTGTCACAATATATTGAACAAAAACAGAAGCCTTAACAGCGGTCGAATGAGATACAAGCATAAAGATGTAGTAAACACCATGACTACTTGCAAGGAATATTAAATTCCTCCCGAACAATAAAATATGATGACATGAAGCGAAACGTAATTAGTATTGGTGCCTACTTCAAATCTCCCAAGCAAACTTCACTTGCAATAAACCAAGTTGATAATCCTCACCCCATTAATTGAAGAAAAAGTAGTAGCATAAACAAAGAGAATAAGAACTACTGCAGAGGTAGTAGATGATTAGGCTAATCGGGTGAGGACAAGTTGAGGGTCCAAAACTAAAAAGCCCACTTACATAGGGAACAGAGACTTGGAAAAAAGGAAAGGACAAAAAGGGAACTCAGCCTTTTAAATTTGTCACAAGCAAAAGCAAAAGCAAAAGCAAAAGCAAAGCAACAATCATTTCAGTTAAATAAAATCTTCTGCAAAAGCAATTCCCCTGTGTCTGAACCCAGGAGGTGGCTATGGCTGTGGCTGTGGCTTCTTCCAAAATCAACATCTAACAAAACACCTACCATTTCAATGGATCATTTACAACCAAATGGCAAGCATGCATTCCCAAAAAACTTCCATTTTTTTCCCAACTTTTGCTCCTATAAAGACACAAAAACCCACTCTTGAAAACATACAATTAGCTCAAGTGGAGGGGTTTTGTATTGTACCTAAAGATTTTGCTCTTCAATGGCTTCCATGAGACTCCCCACTTTTGCTGCTGCTGCTGCTGCTTTTGCTTTGGTCCTTGTAATGGTGGGCTGCTTAGAGATGGAGGTCCATGCCATTGAGGATGAGATGGCTCCAATGCCTGCCATGGCTGCTGCTGCTGGCTCTGCATTTCCTTCTTCTGTTGCCTTTGCTCTCAATTCTGTATTTTCTATTTTGCTCTGTATTTTTGGTGTCTAGGGCTTCTTCTTGTCTAGAATGATGGGTTTGTACTTTGTAAGGTGTTTTATGCTTGTTCTGTCTGCAAATAGTTGGAGGCTTTCTGTACAAATTATATGAACTTCTTTGGCTGGGATTTCTTCACTTGTCCATTTTCTGAAACACAGATGGGTGGGATCCAAAGTAAGCCATTGATGAAGAAATGAAGCAGAAGAAAATGCCTCATTCTCTCACTAATTCCTAATTAAGTTTCTGTTCCAATTTCTACTTGGCTACCACTCTCTCTCTAATTCCTCTTGGTACGCACACATTCTCAATTACCTCTCACCATTCGAACACTTTCTCCTGTTTTCCCACCCATTGTCTACATATCTTCAACTGTTTTCCGTCGGCCAATTATGAAGCATGGCTAAGCTATCCAACCCACCGTTCTTACGGGCTCTTTACCCCAACCCAACTAGCCCCAGATACCCAACAGCATAGAGCTAAGTTCAGACCTTGTCGAGATCCAAACCTTCAACCTACTAAGTTCAGACCTGGTCAAGATCCAAACCTTCAACCTTGAACCTGCTAAGTTCAGACCTAGTCGAGATCCGAACCTTCAACCTCAATATGTCGACATCCAGGTGTCAAACAATACACACCCATTATCACTAGATTCTGATCTCTCTAAACACCTCCTCCAACTAACTTCTTCTAACTATTCTCTTTCCACATACACTTTACTTGCTGAGTTTTCATCTACATACTTTCTCAATACAAGACATCAAATTTAATACTAATACGTGATTCTAAGATCCTGAGAATACTCTTTTTTCACATTTACGCAGCGAATAAGGCAAAACCTAAGATCCTGAGAATATTACAATCCAGAACTCCCAAAGTGCTACAAGAGTCGGATTCAGTTGCACAAGTACCACATGCAAATTTTGGAAGGTACTGCCCCCAACCACTGATTGGAGCAGCCAAAGAAATGCTTCCATCAGAAAACTGCATTTTCTCAGAACTTACAAGCTGGAAAAACCAAAGCTCTAATATAGGCCCAAAATTCAGATATCTACAATTTCAATTAACAAAGAAGCCTTGCAATAATAACTATATGCTCTTCATATTTCCATCATGCACAGGAAATAACACTCGTTGG